AGGGGATGACTAGTTTCAAACTTGCAACCTCATAGTGTAACGTGAAATTTAAAATCACCACTCCACAAAGCAAATTTTATCTAGTTGGGTTTAGGGGCGATGAACTCCCTTCGGCGGAAAATTATATTATTTATACATGATTAAATTATTATTTTTTATGTATATATAGTAGATGTCGAACCCTCTTCGGCTACTTCGTGTGTCTATTTCTAAAGATTTTGAACCCCTTATTGAAAATTATGGCTATGCCACTAGTTGGGTCATTTAATTCATATATATATATATATATATAATATATATATATATATGTTAGTACATTAGTTCGTTTTATATTTATGTTAAATAAAATTATCATACAAATAGACATTGGGTAACATATTTTAACTAACGTGCAATAGTCGTTGGTAGTGCACCTGTTGTCTTGAAATTCTGAATTCTCCTCTACATACGAAGTCAAATTTGTTAGGGAACGATTTATCTAAATATGAAACTTTTCCACTCAAATTCAAATTTAGTTACCTTTAATAAAATATCGAATATTGAATAAAAAATAAAATAAAAACTTGATCAAGATTTTTCCCTTTCATTTTTGTACTATTGATGGGAAATGGGAATTAAAAGCGAAAACGAGTGAGATGAGGAAAGAGGAAGCTAAGTCAAGGGTCTACGAGCAAGCAAATTTGATGGTTGAAAGTCAAAGAATCTAGAACTTTTAAATCAGTAGAGCAAGTCAAAGTCAACAAAAGGCCTTCACACTGTTTAAACAAAAAGGGTGCAATTGTGATTCATGCCTTGCGTAATGCTACTTCATTAATACTGAGTCATGGTAGAATGAGTGAAATTTCAAAATTATATATTTAAGAATGAAAAAATTCTACTTCTTTAATAATGAATCATGATAGAATAAGTGAAATTTCGAATTTAAAATAAAAAGAATCCTATTCATAATTTCGCAACAAAAAACCTTTGAAAATTTTGCTAACCTATTACTATTTGTTAGTAATATTAAGCATAATAGACGGTGTAGTTGATTAAAATATCCTTTATCATCCCTTCGTCGAATGAATATCGATTATACACATCCTTTTGAAGTATTAAAGATGGAAATGAGAGAAATAATTAATGTCTTTTTATTTAATAAGGTAATATTTATTTATGACATTTCTTAAATCAAAAGTGTCAAATAAGAGAGGGAGGATTTTAGGTCATTTAGTATGCTAGACAAGATAAATATAAAGAGTAACTATTACCACCATTTTCATCCAATTAATGGAACAAAATTTAAAACGTTAAAAATATTATATACTCGTAACTAAAGTAAAATAAAATAACTTCATATATTTTAACAAGATAATTGTTCTTATCCCACCTACCAACGAGTGGCTAATATAGTTTTCATTTAGGATGGACTAAAAATGAAAAAATGTTACATAAAATGGGACCGAGGAAGTAGTACTTATTAATTTACAATAACAACATAATCCCACAAGTGAGGTCAACATTATCCCTCAAGTAAGGTCTAGAAAAGTTAGAAGTTAGAGTTTATAGCGAACAAAAAGATTTTCGAACAAAATTATCAAACCATTTAAAAATAATATATACTCATAACTAAATAACTCAAGTAAAATAGAATAATTTCATATTTTATAATGAGATAATTGTTCTTATATTATCCCACCTACCAACGAGTCGAGCCAATATAGTTTTCATTTGGGGGCATGAGAGGGGCCATTGGGCCCACTATGCACTCACATCTCTTTTCAAAAAAGACTTGTAAAAAGACTTGTAGTGTATGGAAAACGCAAGGGGGTTGTCACTTCTCAATTGTTGCCTTGCCATAAATTATGTTATTATCAAGAACAAAACGACCATGTTGAGGATCTGAATATAAACAACAAACGTAGATGTTGAGGAGAAGGGTGAATGTGTTATGTTAGTATTATATTCTGAAATTACTATTTCAAATTGAATTTAAAATCAAAGTACTATAAACATGTCTTGTATATTTTTTAAACATCATGTTTTAAAACAAATAAATTATTAGGGGAGGAATAGTATTATTCCTTCCATATTACAAAATAAATAAATAATTTTTAAAAAATTATCCTTCTCTTTAGTAGAGTTTTCTAACTATTTCTAATTGGGGACTTTTGCAAATAGTTACTATAATAAACTTAATTATACTCTATAGCTATAGTTTGCATATTTATGGGCTGTAGCTACAGTTTAAGCTGCATCATTTGTATAATTTGCGGGTTTGTATGATTTGTGGTTACATTTGTATAGTTCAGTTATTTTTTTTATAAACTCAAAATAACGAATTTATACAATTACAAACATCTGAAGCGTAAACAGTTATACAAATTATATTATAAAAAACTACATTATACAAAAGTTATACAAATTCTGAATTATACAAACGTGTGAATTATACAAAACTAAAAAGTTAAGCCGCATAAAAGTAGGTCGCAAATTATAATTAAGGCAAACTCTAGTTATGTTAACTAATTAATTAGTATATAATAATATTAATAAATTAGCCTTTAATTAATGTTAGTAATTAACTTTTTAAAAGAAATATACCACAACATATAAAATGTACTATTTATTTTGCATAAGGGAATACGTGAATTCAAAATTATTCTCTTTTGTTCACTTTTACTTATCATTCTTTTGTTCACTTTTACTTATCATATTTGATTTTGATGCATTCATAAAAATAATACTCCCTCTATTCCAATTTATACAACTTACTTTTCATTTTAGTCCGTTCAAAAAAGAATGACACATTTCTATATAAAGTAACAATTTAACTTTAAAATGTCTATTTTACACTTAATGAAATAATTTATAGTCACACAAATTTCTATCATTCATTTTAGACCACAAGTTTTAAAAGTCTTCCTTTCTTTCTTAAACTCTGAGTCAAACTACCTCACATAAAATGGGACGGAGGGAGTAATGATTAACATAGTTACTTTCTCTACTTTTTGACAAAAAAAAACATCCTTAAACTATATCCACAACTTAAACTACATCCTCAAATTATTTTTCTTAACAGAAAACATCCCTTAATTATTTAAAATTTGACAACTTTCATCCATTTGTTAAAATTTGTCAAAAATTAACAAATTCTTCACAAAAACATGTACAGTTCACACTACTCTCAACAAAACTCCCTAAATCATCCTCAATAAACCAATTTTATTCATTCTACATACATCTAAAATAAAATATTGTGAATCTTTTTTAGCAACAACGTTTTGCATTGTCTTCCTTTTAATTAGCAATTTTATTTTTATTTACTTTTCATTTGATTTTATATCAAAAAAAAATTATCCGTTTAAATGTTTTATTCTCATTGAATCTGCAAAAAGTGGTGTCGATCGGAGACTTTTACTTCTAATAATGGAAAACGAAACTCGAGTACTAGAGATCAAAATTAATTGAATCTTGATTACCTCAACTATCAGTTTGCCCCAAAAAATTATTGATCCAACGACATTTTGACTTTGCAAAGTGAAGATGGTGTAAAATTAAGCTCCAACTCCATTCTGTTGGCAAAGAAGAAGAGCAGATCATGTCTCCTCGTAGACTCACACTGTCCTAACATTATTATTTTTTAACAACAAACAAAGGTCTAAAAAAAATTAATTTTTGGAAGCTTTTTCCAGCAAGTAATAATTATTAGATTTTTTTTTATGAGAATAGTATGAATTGCATATGTTTTTTGTGCGGAATTCGCTAATTTTTTGACAAATTTTAATAGAGGGATGAAAGTTGTTAAGTTTTAAATACTTTGAGTCTGGAGATGTTTTTTATTAAGAAAAATAATTTAAGGATGTAGTTTAGGTTAAGAGTATAGTTTAAGGATATTTTTAGCCAAAAACTCATATTTATCACACTATTCTTATTAATTAATATTTCATCTGTCCCTAATTACTTGTCCACTTTTCTTTTTTTAGTTGCCACTAATTACTTGTCCATTTTGACAAATCAAGAAAGGACAAATTTTTTAAACCTATTATACCCTCAATTAATTACTTTGAAAAATATAGAACTTCTTGAAACTCTTTAAGTTTTTAATTCATCCACTTCATAATTAATAGTGATAAAATGGTAAACTCACTATGTCAATCATTATTTTCTTAATAGGTGTGTCGATTCAAAAGTGAACAAGTAATTAGGGTATATAGTACTCCTATTAAATTCTGAAAATAATTTGAGAAATAAATATTTAACGTCAAGGATAAAATATGTGCATTAATTATATTTTCTTGATATGTTAAAATTGATAAATAAAAATAAAACGATCAAATAAAAATAAATATTAAAAGAGTAAAATAAAAAGTGAATAGTTTTTACTATCCGATCAATCCTCAGAATAATTCCTTTTGTCGTTATGCCTGTAAAGTATAAACACTCGTGTATGCAGAAAAGATAAGTTTCTCTGTGTATTCACCGTGACCGTTCAATGGTAATACTAATCGAAGAGCCATAAATAGAAGTCCTCCACTAATAGAAAACCCCTCCACCAAGAAAATGAATAAACCCAATTTAATAATCACCAAAGGGCGGCTGACCTAACTCTTACATTCCACGAACCAAGACATCTTCCTTTTTTCATCACCAAATACCAACCGACACGTATCACCTATCTCATTCCGCCACCATTTCTTTCAATCCCCGTCTTTACTCTAATTTTATACTCTCTCCGTCTCAATTTATATTGACACCAAGATTAACAAAGAAATAAATGTGTAATTTATGTTTTTAAATATATATATATATATATCTTACTTTTGATTTTGTTGAGTGATTTTCAACCTATCATGTCAAATTCATATAGAAATAATGAAATTGGGATAAGATGGGATATTATCATTTAGCACTAAAATTTAGACGATAAGGAAGTGTCAATTTTATAGTATAAGATAAAAAAAGATGAGACAATTATAATGCTAAAGCTCTATTCCAAATGTCGACACTGTGTTTTTAAGTATTCTAATAATCACAATACTATATTCATATTTACATTTTAGATTACAAAGGCTCGAATACATTCAAAACATATGTATAAACAATCTATAATATTTATTAGTAGTTCATCAAACTATAGTAGCTTATTTTCTAAGCCCAACTTCTAACTTAGCACTATTAGTCCTTACATTTTTTCTTATTTCAACTTCCACACCTCCAATTTATCATCATATCCTATTTGATCCTAAAAACTATATACAATACGGCTCTTGTGGACTAAAGAGCTTTAAAACACTGGCCTTTTTTGAAGAAAGCACTAGTGTTTGGAGGAATTGCATTCTTGATAAACTAGGCAGTATATTTGTATAGACATTATGCATTTTAGATGTAAATTAAAGGACTGAGATTGCAAAGATTAATATTCTATGAATAGTCCTCCTGTTGGGGCTCTATGAGGAATTCCCTTTCTACGCTTGGCCGTTTTGTAATTAGCAGAAGTTGGAGGGGGCGTTGACGGAGTGAAACTCTGAATCTTGTTTCTCCGGCCATGGCTGCTGCTGCTACTACTGTAAAAGTCATCAGATTCCGATGCCGCCATCGGCGCCGGTAATCTCTTCTTCTCCGGCGAATTCTTCGGCTTCTTCTTCTTCTTCACGAAATTACTTGAGGTCCCAACAATCTGTAAAATTGATAATGCTTAAGATTTGCCATCAATTAATGGTTATGGACCAGTGTGCAGTGCCATTACCTTGAAATGTGTGCAATAAAGAATTTTATTCAATGACAATTAAATGGAGAAATTAATGGTCAATTTTGTATACCTTGCAACCAAGAGAGCAGAATTTGAAGGAATCAAGAAGACTCCTTTCACATACTTCACAAGTATTTGTGACCCCTTTTCCTGGCCTAGGCTGTGGCCTTTCATTCAAGAAAACAACTTTAGCACTGTTGATAATGTATGTTTGGACTGAAGAAATGTCTAAATACTTCTGAATCTCATTCACTCTTATCACATCATGGTAAGATGACCTCCTTATCTGTTTCAACAAAGTGACACTCTGTTTAAGCTTAAAGAAAAAAACAGAGCAATTTCATATGAGCAAAATAATGGAGGAAAAATGGGGAAACCTGAATGACAGGATGATCTCTGTGATGGGCTAAACAGACAGAGCAGAGAGGGGCATTGTTACATTGCAGACAGTACATATTACATTCACTCTTGTGGGAATCAGCATGTAACTTGCATTGAACAAAGAATTGTTCCTTCAATAATGGTTTCAACCATGGCGGCCAACTATTATCGTCCTCATCAGGTCCCTGAAAAAAGAAAAATCAGCAAAAAAATACGAGAAAATGAATGAATGAATGGAACAGAATGATTTTGTGTTTTAAGTGGTTAAAAATAGTACCATGATACGCCTGTTCTTAGGCTTAAATTCACGGATTGGGGCTTCTTGATTGTCGATCGCCAGTTTGAAATACCTTTTCAGTAGTAACGCTCAGATTTTTTATTTTCTTGTGAATGAATATTATGTGAGAGAAAGAAAGAAAGAAAGAGAAAATGTTGGATTTTTGGTTTGGGAGAAATTGGAGGGGGTGAGAGAAATGATGGCTACTTGTAAGGACTTGGGATGGCACTGTGACTTGTGGGGCTTTCTTTTTGTTACTTAATGATCAAATTATAATATCAATATTAAATAATAATAATAATAAATATATTCTTGCGGGTACATATTTAGAACTCGTTTTGTAGAATATATAAAAATAGTACATTAAATATGATATATTAACAATGTTGATATTAATAATATTGTATTAGTTATGTTGAAATTATTTTTATGTAATTTTTTATTGGGTTATTAAAAATAACATCCTTGGCATAATTTCTATATAAAAAATCATTTACAAAAATACACTCCATTAAAATTGAGGAAAGGATGTGAAAGGACGATATTTGTTTTTAATCGGCTAATATATGTATTAAAATCCTTTGTAGTATTGATATTATGAATTTTATGTATTAGTTATACACACCTTAATACCAATAGAATGTACATAAGTAGCAAAAGTGTATCAAACAAGGTACTAGTAACACTGTCTAACACACAAATTGTTTGGTAGAAATATTATAAATCACAATAATCAACAATTTAAAATTATAAAAATTTGATTGACTCTCGAAATTATACCAATCCCACATAAATTGAGATGATTAAGTAATATGTATTATTTGATAATGATGTAAAAATACTATAAATTCAAATAATTGAGGATCTGAAATATTTAAAAATATATTTTAAAAAAAATTATTGACTCTTAAAACTATATCTTGTCAAATAAATTAAAACAAAAAAACAATATATTATTTAAAAATTACAAAATTTTTTTTACAAATCATAATAATTAATAATTTAAAATTTTAAAATTATATAAAATTTAGATGACTTTCCAAATTTCATTTTTATCATATAAGTTGGACAGAGAGCAAGTAGCATGGTGTATCTAGTCTATTTTATTATATATATATGTGATGAATCATTAATATAAAATCTTATAATCCATTGTTTATCTTGTTTCTTTTTTGAGGTTCCAAACGAAACATATTGTATTAGTTAAGTTATCTGGTGCTTATCGACTTGTTGGGTTCATAAAGAATTAGGGGGCATTAGTGACTTGTGAATCGTTCTTATCCATTTATATTTTAAGTGTTTATTACCCTTTCATTTTCATGCATATATATTAGGGGTGTGCATCAATCGGTTCGGTTTGATTTTATATATTATTGGTTCGGTTTATTGGTTTTTAAATACGCTAAATCAATAACGAACCAATAAGATATTTTTTTATTGGTTTTCGGTTTATCGATTTGGTCCTTAACGGTTCGGTTTTCGATTTAACCAATAAGAAAATGCCTATAAAACAAATATATGACTTCTCTAATAAATTTGACACAACAAGACAATAATGTAACTTTACAAAAGCTCATAAAATAGAAATAATAATAGCAAACATGAAAAGAACTATACATGTGTAACACAAAGAGAAATCAAGAGGAATATGGTTCTTACTTTAGGTTTTGACGATTTGTATAATGTAAAGTTGTGAACTCAAAGTCACAGCGAAGTATGAGATGGCTAAATGACAAAAACATAACTATTAAGATATTGAGATTAATATTTACTAATATGTATGTATATGTAGACGTAGTAAATTACTATAGTCTTAACTCTTAATGGGTTATCAGTTTACCAAATAACTCAATATTGAAAACCAATACCGAACCGATAACCCAATAATTTTTTTTATAAAACATTAAGAAACCGTTAACCCAATAACCCAATAGCAATAAATCAATAACACTTTTTTCGATTCAGTTTATCGATTGGTTCGATTTTTTCACACCCCTAATATATACACATCCTTTCTTAATTAGGTCATGTCATTTCTACTTTTTTAGTATTATTTTTTTCTCCATTAGTTTGTTTGCTTTCCTCCTTTTAATTGTTGTTCACTAAATAATCATGCCCATTAGATTTATTAAATTATAATCTCTAATATTCAACAAGGTAAGTGGGGTTTCAATAGTGTATTTGACATTGTTCCCCATTTTTACAATTTGGTATATTTGGTCCATTATTGACTATTTTATGTTGTGCTTCAAGTGCGCACGGTAATAATAGTATCATACTCCTCCTATTTCAAATGAGGTGTCGTGATTTTTAAAATAATTATTCGAAAGTATTTGTCATTTAGAAATTTAAGATTACATATATAAAGACTACAAATGTTTTAACTAGAGTAAATAAGAAAAAATATAAAGTATCTTAAGACATAAATAAAGATAAAAAGGTAAAAAATTATTCCTAATTCTTCATATGTCTACTTTTATTTGTCATGTTGCGCTTTTTGAAAGTCAATTTGATTAATTTTTAAATTTAAATTAGATTATATTAATTTTATATTTTAAACAAAAAATTCAGATATTTAAAAACTATATGAAAAGAACTATAAATTGCAACTTTTTGCATATCAATATGATGAAAAAATACATCATAAAATGTTAGTCATGTTTTTAATAAATTGACTCTAAAAAAAGGAAACTATGACAATTAAAAGTGGACGAAGATATAATTTATTTAAGAAAACTTAACCACCATATCGTTCTTGGAAATGTCATTTTGCGCATTTATTTCTACCCATTTCTTTGGGTTCGAATTCTAGCCATTATTTGTCTAGACAATTCTATTAGGAGTAATATCTTCCGAAGAATGTCAAACAATTTTTTTCAGTGATTAATTTGTAAAAACAACTCCTCTGTTCCTAATTACTTGTCTACATTTTTTTTTAGTTGTTCCTAATTACTTGTCCATTTTGACAAATTAAAAAAGGACAACTTTTTTTTACCTATTATACCCCCAATTAATTATTTTGGAAAAGGTAGAACTTCTTGAAAATCTTAAGTTTTTAATTCATCCACTTCATAATTAATAGGGGTAAAATGATAAACTCACTATGTCAATTATTGTTTCCTTAATAGGTATGCCAATTCAAAAGTGGACAAGTAATTAGGGACAGAGGGAGTAATTATTTAAACAATATCCTCATATAGTTTGTTAATATAGATAATAAAAGGGTAAATATTTATTTTGTACTTGATATTTATACCAATAAACGAATAACATTTATTTGTACATAATCTTTTAAAAATTAATTATAATTAACATACATTTTTATCTCATTAAATATAGTAAATATAAATAATTGGCATAAACACCTTGATAAATATTTACCCAATATGGTCTAATTCGTATTTGTTTCTACATTTACTAACATACCATGTTGAGATTGAAAATAATTACTTCATATTACTTGGGGCATTGACATGCTTTTAATAAAATTTTAATTAGAAGTATATTGTATTAAATTAATTCTATTGATGATATTTTAAAACTTTAAATTTGACAACTAGCATTTCACATAATTATTTAATAGTAAGAATAGAAATAAAAAGAAATACAATAAAATATTATCAATAAAATTAATGAAATACAATAAAATTTAGGAATTTGTAGCTCTTCTTAGGTGAATAAAAAATAAAAGTCTGATAATAAATATATAGAAAGATGAAAAAGGAGGAGTCGCACTCCATAAGTACTAGTTATCTAATCAAAATTCAATAATTTGTTTTCTTCTATGATGTACAAGGCAATACCCTCTTCACACAAAAACAGATGAAAAGGATAACAAAAAAAAAAGGTACTTTTTCTTCTTGTATTTTTCCTCTTTCATCATATTCTTGAACGTTGCTTTTCTCTTGTAAAAAAAAATTCTTAAAAAGGGAATACGAAACTCTAAGAATTCCATCAGATAGAAGTGATCATATACCTAACAAAACTTTTCATGCTATATGTTCATAAAATATTGATCATAGTGAATAGATATTTTCACGCATTAGGATCTTTTTTATTTGGTGGGTTTTAAGATAAATATTCATTTGTATCAAAGGGTTTACACTAAAATCCGTTGTTAAATGAGTTGATAAGATAAAAATACATATTAGTAACTAATTATAGTTAAGTGTTAAAGTTCTGTATACAAAGACATGTCATACATTTATTGACTTAATATAAATATTAAATGCGAGTAAATTTTTATTATTTATAAAGTTAGGCCTGACAAAGTGACAATATACGAATATAATCACCTCATTATAAGTAGAGGCTCAATTACCATACTTGGAAAAGTATCGTTTTCCTCATTTTTTTTTCAAATATAAATCTTGAGTTATCAAAGTCCTTTTTATTTGACCTGATCCAATCACCCTACACGATTGATGCTTCAAAAGGAAAAACTCTCGATCATTCCATTACCGACCTCATTTCTGCTTTACTTACAAAGAAAGATAGAGAATTTATACCTTAAGTTTTATTATTATTATTATTATTATTATTATTATTATTATTATTACTTATCAAAAGTATTAAAGAAGTCAGTGGTGCGTTTTAAGACTCCACCATTAATAGTCATTAGATTAAGAGTGTATGATTGAGACAAACATTGGAGTTATAATTCAAAAATGGTTTTTATTGTTATAAAAACAATTATTGACTTCAACTGAAAATAAAATTTGAGTTTTGAAACAAGAAAAAATCTTTAGCAGCTTCTTTTTTAAAATAATGAATTTTATTGGGCAAGTATCCTGATTAGTTAAACTAATGAGTGCCAAATACCAAATTGTTACAGAAAAAGAAGATTGGTCATCATCATCATTATGCAACTTATATAAATTGGTATACATCGATAATCTCTTAAACATTTTAGTAAATTTTATTTTAATATTTGAATTATATAACATAGTTTGATTGAACATTTGAACATTAGATATTTCTTAAACAAAGTTTACTTGTACATTCTACTCTAAACTAATGCTCACTTCTAAGCTTCATGCCGCAAATCTCAAGTAATCTACTCAATTGATGTACAATTAACTAGGTGGAATCTTATTGGTAAAGCTTACTTAATTATAAGAGAAATTGATAATGACATTCTAAGCATCTTCATCGTTGTTAATTACTATTTTGTTTTTCTCAAGAAGATATTATAATCTTTTTCTTTGGTAAGGATAATATTATTTTTATAATTAGATAAGAGTAGATGTCATTTTTGCAAGGGAATATTAGACCTCAATAATAGAGGTGACTTATTCAAAGTGTCAACATAATCCTGTTGGAAGGAAGTATATATATATAACCACACAAGCCAAGAGTTTATTGAAGAAATATCTTATATTGATGCCATCTTTTTCCTCTCTAATTAAATCAAGCCCTAAGATTCCATCACTTTTGAGGTAATTATCAATACGTACATATAAAGATTTTCCGATCATTTTTCGATTTATTTGTGTTATTTTTATGCAAAAGTCATGCTAATCTTTAAAGGAGTCTATAAAGGGATGAAATTTTAATTTAAAATCTACAAATGATGATCTTTGGGTGAGTGAAGAGCTCTTGTGTTTATTTATTTTAAGAAATTAATGAAGTACAAAAGTTTGACTACTATGTATCTGAAAGATGTTAATCATAGATTAGTAGTAAAATAAAATCAATTTTCCCGGCCCACAATAATTACATCTCTGAACTTGTTCTCTTTGTGGAAGCAACCCTTTTGAGACCTTTCTTTTAGATTAATAATCTTCTATTTTGTGTGCGCTCGTTTTCTTTCTTCATGTTAAAATAAAAAAAAATAAAAAAATCTATCTATATATAATAGGAGAGGAAAAAACGCCACATGTCATCACCATAAAAATAGATTTTTTAAAATTATTAAATAATAGGATTAAATATGAAATTACTATTTTATTTTCTGTAATTATTTTAAATAATAAATAAATAACAATTTTAAAAACAAATTTAAGAACAATAATTGAATATTATTAAAATTATTTTAAAATCTAAAAAATACAAAAAAAATAATTTGCAAACACTACAAAAATAATGAAAAATTCAGAAAGCAATTTTCACAGCTTTAAAAATAAGACCATTTCAAAAAATATATATAAGATAAATTATTAGAACTATTTATTGAATAATACACCGTTAGATAGTTATTACAAACAATAATTACTATCTTTCATATTATTTTTCAATCTTTAAAAAATAATAAAAAAAGAAATTCAAAAATGTAAGATTTTCTTGGTACATTCTAAAATAATTTTAAAAATAAGACAATTTCAAAAAAAATAAATTTATAAGTTAAATTATTAGAATTATTTTTTGAATAATACACAATTATTTAAAATAATAATTACTACTTTTCTGTATTTTAAAATCTTTTAAAAATTTAAACAAAAGAAACACAAAAATATAAGATTTTTTAAAAAGTAAACAAATTTATGCACGTTCCTATCCCCTTATTCAAGAACTAACTAAGAAATATACATAAACTTAACTCCTCCGTTCTCCGTTTTTATATGTGAAAATATATATTCTTTAAATGCCTAAATAATTAATTTAAAATTCAAATTTTAAAAGATGGATAACTAATCTTATCTATAAATTATACAACCCACGTTTTTAGGAAAAAAACTGCCCTTAACAGTTAACTCCATCTTTTTAAAAACCTATTCACACCATAATTTTCTTATTGTCTTATCTTTATTCAACCTCTTAACGTGATAATAACTTTTCTTGCTTTTCATGGTGCTATTTCAGATCTTAATTTCTTTTATAATAGATCCTTTGTTTCTGCGAACGAGTCTTTATGGTTTGAAATGATGAGTTATATACATATAGTTCAAATTAGGATGGGGAAATCCTTACCAAGTCAGAATGTGGTGCATACCCAGCGAATTTGGATTGATGTTGGTTCTCTTTTTATTTTCTTAAGCAAATTGCACATATATTCTTCTTCTTTATTCACAATTTAGAATTATTATTATTCAATTTAGATTTTAGTATTTAAATTGTTATTAAGTAGTTAATTATTCTATCCAAATTAGCATAGAATTTACAAACGGATCGAGGAATGAAGGGAGAGAAATTTTAATAGTGTATTACGTCTAATTTACTTCATTTTTTATGAACTAATAAATGTGTTTGTAGTTGACGCATTTGTTCAGGAGGGAGAAAATATGAAATAAGACTATATTGAAAATGTTGTTTTTCTATTTTAAATTTTATGCAGAAATTTTTTCGGCTTCCAATTTGATATATGCACATAAAGGTAACTTATCAAACTTAAGAAAAACTTTCAATTTTAATAAAATGATAGCATAATATCATTTATGGATTGTACTCTATTATTTAAGTTAAAGTAATTTTTCTCTTTTTTTTTCTTTCTAATTATATGGTGATTATATATATGTATATAAAGCTGGAAAGAAGATATGTAGATTTGATATCAAATACATGAGTAAATATTTTGTTGTAAAGCGAGAATACACAAACAAGAGGAAATTAATGAAGAGTAAATGAAAAAATTGGTCAAGAATTCTTAAAACAAGACCTACTTTTGAATTTTCAATACAATTGAGAAAATGGACTACATGAAAACTTCAACAAAAAAATTACTGCATTTTGTTTGGTTCAATTTACAGACATTTGAATTCATAAATTATGGGATGACCTAATTAATTCATGCAAATTTATTTGATTAATTTAAAAATTATACACGTTAAAAAAATCAGCGGGTGTGTGTAATGTCATTTTCTAAATTTATTTTCTTAGTTCTAATATGGTTTGAGTTAAGTTTTACATTTTCATTATTTTTTAAGTTTTACATTTTCATAATACCATTTCTTAGTACTTCTTTTAATAAAGTACTGTGAATGAGTAAATAGTGGATGATTAATAATACCAAAAATATTAAAATGAAATGTTTTAGAATTTAGCCCAAAAATTATAAATATGTAACTCTAAATCTGATAAAATTTACTCTAATTAGTTTTAAAAAGAGGTACAACAAAATAATAAATGTCATAATAGAATATTGCAAAAATTAACTGTACATTGTAAATTATATATTTTATTAGATTATTTGTATAATATGTAAAGTGAGATTAGTTTATACTATCTTAACTTATGATGTATTAACGTGGACTTTAACTGAAGATTACATATAAGAATTTCTATGCATATTTTCATTCATTATATACACTATTGTTTTATGCGTATTAAATAATTTTAAAATTATTATTAAAAATTAAAAAAATAAAATAATGAAAGAATCGAAGGAATAGAACGAAAGAGAGCATAAATAAATAACATTCTAAATCAAAAGAAAATTATATACTTATCAATATCGAAAGGGAAGTTATAGTTAACATTCTGGAGTCAAGTGACAAAATAATAAAAAGTCTGATTTTTATTGATTTTAAATTAATATAGGGACATTAGGTGATAGTATTTAGTTGTGAATCTATATATTTGTATGTATTTAAAAAATTAATTTAGACAAACATAAAAATTGCTTTAAAAATATTAATTTCGACGAACTCATATCTGTTTTAGTTTGCTTGTGATAAACTAGGTATTTTTTTTTTGACTAGTGGTATTATCTACGTTATGGTAAACAAAGAGTAATTACATGTTTGGCAAAGAGACTAAAAATACTTTAATAAAATAGCTTTTCAGAAAAATGCTTTTGAAAAATTAATAATATTTGTATTTGACTAAATTCATTCGAAAATTATTTTTGTTTATTTGGTTGATATTTTAAAAAAAAGTATATTTGTGAGACATATTACAAAAAAAACATGTATCAATATACTTTTAATATTAAAATTATTTTACAGAGACAAATTAAATAGAAAGTACATATCCTAAATTTTGATGAATATTATACATAGATTAATCAAATAAAATATTATATATTGATATAATATCATCATGCTGATTTTATATAATAAGAAATATCAAATAAAATAAATTAAAGAGTTATTCTACATATTAAATCATAAAATAATAACAAATAACATAAAAAATAATAATAAATATTTTTTAATGTAAAATGAAGGATACGTACAATTCTAAAATGAAACTAAATTAAACGTATGAGATATGTTAATTAAATTAACAAGGGATATATTGATAAATATGTATAAATGATAGGAATACTTTTATCTTGATTTTGTTTTTTGCTTATGCTTTTGAATTTTTTAAGAAGGAGAAACTTTTAAGTTCTCCCCAATCACAAAAAAATAAATTTTCTTCTATTTAAAAGTAGTTTTACAGATTGTACAATTTTTTATTTTTTATTTTTAAAAAGAAGTAATTTTGACTTTTAAGCGCTTGGCCAAACAAATTCTAAATCAAATGACAAACTAATACAAAAACCTTCTACAAATGTTAATATTGTAATTGTTGAAATAGTGAATAAATAC